TAGAATTCTGATCCAATAGAATGTGCCGTAAATGGATAGACCCACTTTATCAATGGATTATATTTCCATCCACCGATACATGTGCATTCCTTGTGAACTGTTTATTGGATGGATCACCCCCATAATCTAACCCCAAATAAGCTAGGTCAAATCTAGTGATGCCCCGAGACACTTTACGAGAAAAACCTTTGGAGAGATGATCTCGTTCTCAATGAACACGGAAATCATTGCTCTCGTCTCAGTCTCGAAATACACAGTATCGACTCCTCTCTTGATGACTCCGAGTCAATTTATCTCATCTCGTTCTCAAGTTTTTCGTATTTTTTAATATAAAATCTCGGTTTGTCTCCTCTCGGTTTTTTACATATAAAAAAAGCGAAAAAGTAGAAACCGAGATGAAATAAATTGACTCGGAGTGATCCCGAGAGGAATCGATATTGCGTATTTTGAGACAGACAAAAGCAAAGATTTCTATGTTCATTGAGACTGAGATCATCACTCCGAAGTTTTGTCTCGTGATGTCTCATGAAATATTTTGCGGCATCACTAGTGAAATCCATGAGGAATTCCAGTAGTCTCACATAACTCCTCAAAGTCTACCTCGGATTGTTTTTCTCCCCATAATTATTCTTTTCGTCAGAAGGCCCGGTAAACCGCGATTCCAACCTCGCTTCACTCGGTTAGATCGCGGTTTACGGGCCTTCTGACGAAAAATTGCATTCATCACACGGTCCAAAAGTATTTTCTGACAAATGTGGCTTTGTAGGCCGAGCCGAAGGCTCAAAATACTTTGTGGACCTTGTGATGAAAATAACTATTTCCCAATCACTTCAACCTCACAGATTTTCATCATAGGCCAGTCAAATAAGGACTTTATTGTGGCTGAAATCAAGGATGATAGAAGATGGATAAAAACCATAGCATATCATGCGGAAAATGATATGAAACACATACTAAGTTTTTGAGATTCTAGCGGAGCGGGAAATTGTTTAAAAAAATCCAAAACTGCAAAATAAAGCGTCCGCACGACTCTTTTTGCTTTGCGCTGATGAAACCATAATAGATAGGATAAAAATCCATAAGACATAATTTGTAGAGTATTAAATTTCCTACAAAAAAGTCACTAGCGGCATATTCCTAATTTCAACCGTTAAGTCGCCAGGCGCGCTCAAAGTGGAATCACGGAAAAGCTGATTTTCTGCTAACACCGAAAAGTCCATTTTAGTTACAAAACTTTTGATTCAGTCATCTAACGGGAATAAAAGAAATTGCTGATTTTTTTTGTTCTCTGTTCTTTATTTTCACTCTTTTGACATTTTCACTCAATTTGCATATTTAACCATAAACTCGTGTGGTTGGCCAGTCCTCGCCTACGGCTCGGAGGCCAATGCCACACGAGTAAAAAACCCCATCGCTACAGCCCAGGAACAATATTTTTCTGTAGTGATTTTCAAGTTTTCGAGTTTGGGAAGTATGTAATACTAATTCCCAGACAAGAAATCGTGAGAAGCAGTACAGAAAAACTATTTTTCCAACATATCATCTAACTGGAGACATTTTTGGTTACGCTGAGTAGCTTTATACCAAACTTGAGTCAGTAGGATCATTCCTGAATTCTTTCAGATTTTTTCTTGCATTTGTTAACATAGGTTTTTAATAAAAAATAGGCAAAATTTCCGATTTTTTTCATTTTTTCGATCTTAAAAAATTCTTTGATTTTTTTCATATCTTGAAATTTTTCCATATTTCTAATGCTTGAGTTGTAAATTTTTTTAGATTTAAGGGGAGACGGATCCCCTTTGTCTACATAAAATCTTAGAATTGTGTTTTCTCTTACAATTATTAATTTTTATCTATGAAATTACTTTATCGACTCGATTATCGCATTGTTGAGTCAATGAAGTAGTTCAATGAATAAAAAATAATAATTGCAGGAGAAAACACAATTCTAAAGATTCATATAAACGCAGGGATTCCGTTTCCCCTTAAGGGGTAACGGAACCCGTCGCACGTAGAGGTTAAGGGTCCCCCCTATCGGTATTGCAGGTTCCCGTGTTTTTTTGTATTTTGTACATGAAAAGTACAAAACCCCATAAAATATAAATAAATGGATATAAGTAAATAATAATGGTATGGAAACATTCTACATCATCTTCTGACTCGTAAAAGTACTTCCCTCTTACAATTGGTGCCCTGTAAAGGACATGTTACCTCCTGGATACCACCCAATCATCATAAACAAGTTTTTACGAAAATTACGTAACGAAAGTACGTTTTTGTACTCAAAATCTGTGTCTTGGACCTCACTCGATCGCTCTCTACTCATGAAAATAGCTATCGGCTAAGAAAAATCTGCAAAAAATCGGTTTTTCTACCATGACTTGGCATATTCCTACAAATAAAATGGCGTCGGCCTTGCCCTGATCCTTGCCGTTAAATAATTTGCAATTTTTTTTTGCATAAATAAGACAAGTATGAGAAGAAAGCGATGGGTTCCGCTACTTTCAGTACGGGGAAAAAGTTTCATTGATTCTCATTGCATAGAATCCAAGAAAACTTGTTTTTGGTAAACGTCTTTTTGTGGTCGGTTCCGTTACCCCTTAAGAAAAAGTTCTCGTCGCGCGGCCCCCACTCCGCGCGCATGAACTCCCCACTCCCCACGTTCTCTATGTAGCGGAACGTCCCCAAAAGATTCCATTGGTTCTTTATCAATATAAAAATGCAAAAATTACAACGACCTTTTTTATTAACAATTAAATGCACAAATTCCATGAGAATTTCTGTTTTAAACCTCTGTAATTGCGGTGCAAATTGGATAAGAAATGATATTCATGAAATAGTTTTTTCTGTACTGCTTCTCACGATTTCTCGTCTGGGAATTGGTATTACATACTTCCCAAACTCGAAAACTTGAAAATCACTACAGAAAAATATTGTTCCTGGGCTGTTGCGATGGGGTTTTTTCACTCGTGTGGTTGGCAAGTCCTCGCCTACGGCTCGGAGGCCAACGCCACACGAGTAAAAAACCCCATCGCAACAGGCCGGAAAAATACTATTTCTTTTTAATTTCAATTTGACGGGGAGTCAAAACTTGTTGTAATTTTTGCACTTTTATATTGATAAAGAATCAATGGACACTTGGGGACGTTCCGCTACACGGAGAACGTGAGGACTGGGGAGGTCAAGCGCGCGGAGTGGGGGCCGCGTAGCGAGTATTTTTTGTTAAATCTAAAAAAATTCATAACTCCTTAAGTATTAGAAATATGAAAAATTCCAAGACATAAAAAAATCTTTAAAAAATCAAAGAATTTTTTGATATCGAAAAAATGAAAAAAATCAAAAACTTTTCCTTTTTTATTAAAAATCTATGTTAACAAATGCAAGGAAAAATTTTAAACAATTCAGGAATGATCCTACTGACTCAAGTTTGGTATAAGGGCCGGCGCACAATCAAAAAGAACAGGGAATTGAGAACAGACATTAGGAACAGGGAATATAGCGTGAGGAACAGAGAACAATCCAACGCACAATCAAAAAATATAAGCACAGATGACATGCGCAATAAAATTCATTCTGCTTGCCACTCGCAAATAAACATTCAAATATTGCATCACTGCCAAATAAACAATCAAATTGTGAATTCTGTTCATGAATGTGGAGCAACGAATCAAATCATAAATCGAGATCTGGGATTTTTCTTATCCCATATATATGCGGATAGGATCGAATCAATTCAATCAATAACTCATCCCCCTCTTTACACTGTTGATTGACATCAACATCTTGCTTTTTATCCTCATCTGCCTGCATTTTATTTTGTACTTCACTAAATTTTTTCGGGTATGTATGATCCAATGCCATGAGGAGGAGGCAGGTAAACAATATTTTATATCTATATGCCAACACTTGTTCCTTGGTTATATTCCCTATTCCTCTATTGTGCGTTGAAACATTAATTACATAATGTTGAAATTTATTCTTTATTCCTTGTTCCTAATGTTTGTTTTCAATTCCCTGTTCTTTTTGATTGTGCGCTGGCCCTAAAGCTACTCAGCGTAACCAAAGATTTCTCCAATTAGATTATATGTTGAAAAAGTAGTTTTTTTTTAGTTTATCAACAAATTTATAGTTAAACATGCATATTGAGTGAAAATGTCAAAAGACTGAAAATAAAAAGCAGAGAACGAAAAAAATCAGCTATTTCTTTCATTTCTGTCAGATGACTGAATCAAAAGTTATACTATGACAAATTTTGGTTAAAAAATGAAAAAAAAAGAGCAAAATGAACATGGCTGAAAAATCTAAAAATGATTTTTTAAAAAATTCCTCTCGTGGAGACATTCTGTGAAGGGTCAAGATGCATTCAGATTTTTTTCTAATTTTTTAATCAACATTTTCATACATTATTTGCATTTTGTAACTAAAAGGGACTTTTCGGTGTTGGCAGAAAATCAGCTTTTCCGTGATTCAACTTTGAGCGCGCTTGGCGGCTTAACGGTTGAAATTAAGAGTATGCCCCCCCCCCCTGACTTTTTTATAGGAAATTTAATGCTCTACAAATTATGTTCTATGAATTTTTATCTTATCTATTGCGGTTTCGCCAGCGTAAAGTAAACAAGATCGCGCGGACGCTTAATTTTGCAGTTTTTAATTTTTTTAAACAATTAACATAAAAAAAAGTTAGTATGTGTTTCATATCATTTTTCCGCATGATATGCAATGGTTTTTATCCTTCTTCTGTCATCCTTGATTTCGAAGCCGTGATTTGACTGGCCTATCATTCGAGAGGTCTGTTGTATTCGAACCATCTGTAAAATAATTTGAATCTCGTTACAGAGATTCTGGATATAACGACTCATATCCACTTATCGTCATTAAAACATTGTCTTTATACGTATCTCTTTATAGCTTACTGACGCCCGCATGTTTTCTCCAAAAACGGTACTTCCGTCTCCAAAGTAGGGAAGATTGAAATGTTATGGATTATGATATACTTTTAGGGGAAGGCAGAGGGTCAAAGATCGTCCATTTGGATACGTGGCAAGCTGCAGGACGAGTTGAACCAATTGGGATATTTTACTCAGAGGCACGCGGGCAAGGTACTATTTGTGGCGGTATTATTGTTGGCGACATTTTGCATAGCACTCAAGTCCATCCAGGTGCATAGCAAAGTAGAACAACTGTGGATACAAGGTAAGGATTTTGTCTATTCTTTTAATTTTTTAAACGGGGTTTCATGATAATTTGATAAAACGAGATAAGTTGAATCATTTTAAGGACAGATCAGTTTTTGATAAATGCATTATAATCTAACAGTAAATGAAAACTCAGCTTTTTTGGGTGTTACAGATATTTTGAAACAAATATGTTAGAATGGGAATTGAGTCTGGTTTCACCACTTTCTATTCATTGTACTTTGTTCTTATTTTTGCTTTTTCAAGATTCCTTCAAAATTAATTTATTGGATTATGGGGTTTAAAAATAAGAAACATTTTATGACGCTGAAGTTAGCAGCCGACTTGGCAGCAGAACAGGGGCGTATCATGATCCCCTGGGGCCCAGTGCACATATGATTCAAAAACCGGGGTAAAAATCAATTATCGACATCGGAAAATGTTCAGACACTACCCCTCTGCATTCATGAAGATTCTTACCCCTCTGAAACCATTACTTGTTGATGTTTGAGGGGTGCAAAAATTGATTTTCCTTGAAGTGAAAGAAAAAAAAATTGTTGGCTCCCAAACACTCAAAACCACCAACAAATTTCCATTGAAAGATATTAGGAAAGACTCCCTCAACCCCCAGAAAAATAATCAAGTCTTTCAGAGTGGTCCAAGGAAGTGCAAGGAGGTGAAAAAATGGAATTTTCGCGTATTTCAGGGGGAAAAAAAATCTCCAACTAATAATA